GGGAGGAAAAAACAAGGCGTTTTGGTGTGGGTGTACCTGTGTGTATTTTGTTTGACATGCTGCAGTGAGACAAGACATGGATAACGAAAAAGAACAGCGGTGTTTCGAGAGATGGCACAAAACGAATTCATGTTACAGCAGGGGGAAGGGGGACGACTCAAGGTCACAGACAGACATGCAGTGTACAAAGCGACTGTCAGGATAACTGAATCTTCCTTTCACAATTGTGTGTTTATTGATATATAATATGTAATATATTTGGCATTTTACAACATTTTGTCTCAAACATAGTAATCACTAATTCTCAGTTTGTACCATGGTGCTTGTGGTTGTTGAACCCACTGTGCCTGGAGAGAATCTAGACTACAGTGTGCTCCTCTGACTCCCACCCCGACCAAATTCAGTTGCAACCCGTGTATTGGAGTCCACCTAAAACAATCTACAAGCTGGGCTGTATTTGGAATATGGATCACATTGATTAGAGGAAAATATCGAATTGTGATTTTTCCTACCAATTTTGTGACTGTGATTTAAGCTGTTATTACTGTCTATACTTTAAAGCCCTGCACACCTGTGCCATACACACACACACACACACACACACACACACACACACACACACACACACACACACACACACACACACACACACACACACACACACACACACACAGGTGATTTCATTTGTTTTGGTTGATTAGACCTCTTCTCAAGAATCTGGGTGTTTACAAACTGTTTGATTCACATCTTCCTGTCTTTTTGCACCTGTTAGGATAGAATACCAGACAGTGCGTCCTAATGTAACTGCACATCGTCAACCTTAGCAGAGGTCTAATCAGCCAATAACAAGAACACCCCGGAAAGGGTGTGCAGGGCCTTGTACAATTCTTGTAGGACTACTTGTCGTCTATTGAACAAGATGAGTTTCAATTGAGCTCAATCACAAAATTATCTCATTCCTACAGTCCATGCAAAATATTTATTAGTAAAAGCTACACAGTTGTCCACTTCAGAGATTTAAAAGGTGATGAGGTTAAAGCAATGATATGATGTGTTTTAAATATAAACTGGAACTTTCTGACAACTGGTCACTAACCGCCAGGTGTCAGTCATTTACACTAACGAGATAGCTCGTTAGGGGTTGAGTGTGAGCTGAAGTGATAAGATGGATCATTCATCTAGAAAAAGGCTTATCACTCTGTTAGCGTCCGTCAAGTAAATCGAAATCACAGCACAGTGTTTGTCTTTAACCTATGTGTATTTGGTCAGACAAAATCGTGGTTATAAAAAGGATTTCGGCAGCAGAGCAGCAGCTTGGACACGGCTCGGAGGTTAACATGTAGTCTTAATGGGCTGTGTTTCAATCACTAATGAAATAGTGACTGAATTTGTTCCACTGTCGGAAAACATAAACAGAAAAAAACATGTAAATGAGAAGAGTTTAATTAGGAATTCAGCTGTATTAAAATATTGTATATGTGAGCACAGAGTAGGAGAGAAGCAAACAGATAAAGAACTGAAACCGTCTGACAGTGTGCAGAATGCAAATATGACATGATGCCAGTTGTTTGCAGTGGTTTCAAAACAATTTTCAATTACGTCCTCAATTTTACACATTAAGCATACATGATCCAGCCATATACTAGGTTCTGACCTACTCTTATCTTTTCAAACAGCATTGCGAAACAAAGTGGCGTTACTTCCTTGATAAAAAATAAAAATAATTGGCAAGTCGCTTGATTACTACAGTCACGTCATGCAAGTATTTGTCAAAATAGTCAGAAAAAATAAAAGAATTATTTTTAGTGTGGTCCACTTCAGGAATTCGCATGAATTAACTACACAAGAGTTGAAATGACAGCCAGCAAAATGAACACTCGCAGGACAACTCTTTCTCTTCCTACAGCTTTTAAAGACATTAGTAACAATGTGCTTTATAGCCTAGTCAAAATTAGGGACTTTTGCAAATTGCAAATTGCAAAATCCCTAAATACTTCAGTCCTATATGGACATATGCACATCCGTATAGGATCACAACAATTACATGATGTGTTCCACACAGATCTTAGCTGGGGACCTGGAAACCACTGGGTCCTACACCAGGACCCTGCATTTATCTCAACCTAGCATTCAAAACAAATTTCCCACAAATGCTGAGATGCATGCCAGGACTTGGGACATTGGGGACACCAGAGGCCCTTTTCATGGCAGACATTTTGACTTGTCAAAGCAGGAAAAGCACTGGTGTAAATAATATTAACAATGGCTCCATTATTGAGCATGGACAATACCAGAGCCCTGGAACTGGCTCACCTAAATGGAACGCAGCCACCTTTTCCTCCTCCTGCTTCAACGAGTCAAAATGTCTGCTATGAAATGGGTGTATTTAGACCTACTCCCTGTACACCGCAAACCATGATGCAACTAACCCTCATCTAACACTCCAGTCCCATCATTAAAAGCACTGTAACATCATCCATCACAGCTCCTATTTCGATGCAAGGCTGCAGTGTGTCATTCAAGTGGCCGAGGGAGTGGTGAGCTGCCTGCTGTATCACATCAAACACCTGCATTAGACCCACATTTAAGGTATCTCGCTGTTTGACATCCTCCCTGTGAATCACTCTTCTGGTGTATTAGTCCTAAATCTTGCACTATACCATTATGGTGCACACTAACACACAAAAATGCACACAAACACAATTAAATATACAGTACCTGACTGGTGAGGCTATTTAATGCACCAATCTTCTTTGTCATTTTGACATTAGAGGAGCTATTTATAAGTTTTGCTTTTGCTACATAGCCCGTGTTAGCATTAACAGCTCTTAACTTACCAGTCTTAAAGAAACGTTGTTAGTGCAGCATCAAACTTAATTCCTTTACTCAGCAACAGCTGTCTCTAGAGGTTGAAAGCAAGATTAACTCTTGTCTTTATCACGTCTTTTCTTCAATTGAAATTAGCACGCTAACCAGCTAGCTGCGACGCGTCCCTTCACTTTCCACTAGCAAATCACTGCAGCACCACCTCTTGTCTTGTAAACGCAATGATGGCTGGAGCTCTTGTCAAGCGACAATCACTGCCACTTTCTCCTGGCAAGAAACCAAATTTACGTATAGCCCCTTTAATTTTTAATTAATTAATAATGAATTTTTTAATTTGGTAAACACCAAGTATGACTTCACCACAGTCAGATTTTGTTTTTGTTTCATGAAACTGAATCTGTTCAGTCCATACATCATTGTGCACCAGAGGTATTGTAAGTATTTGCTACTACTAAAAACTATTTGCTTGAATGTTACTTGGACTGTCTTTATTCTCAACAATAAAATGTCAGAATTTTTAATGAATAAAGTGCATCAATCCCAGGCATTATCTATTCAACAGGTCAAATTTATACGTAATACTTGCCAGTCAATATTGTAAGTATACATATTGTAAGTGCATTAGACATTTTGTGCTGCTGTGTGCTTATAACGGCATGGTGATGATTTATGTGTGTGTTTCTAGTGTATGTGTGATTCTGAAAGCAGAGGAGCAAGTGTTACCCCTCCCTTCCCAAAAGACAAAACAACAACCGTTCGCCAACTGTGCTGAGACAGAAATGAACAATGATCCTTTTCCTACTAATGAGCAGAGCAGAGTGACAGATTAAACTGTGCAAAGGCCCACCCTAGAGTGGAACTATTTTTGCTTTCCTCATATGTCACTAGGTACTAACGCTGTACCAACATTTTGACTTCAAAAGAACACGGCTTGATTTTTACTCAAACAGTTACAATAAAAATAAACGAAATAAAATCTATTAACTAAGAAAAAAAAAAAAAAAAGAACGCTGTGTGCCAAAAATATATGAAACTATTTCTGAGCGTTGAGAACAGATATTGAAGCTACAGTTGCATCTAGTCAGACATCATTTGTGACTCAAATACAACATACAGCACAGACGACGTGCTGTTTCTGTAGAATTAGTGAACATTTAGTCCTCTTAGCTGCATAAACAGAATAAGGTTAGGAAGGAAGGAATGGAATAGGTTTCTGTCATCTTTATCAGATAATCAAAAATGGAAAGTGAGAGATAACATGGGGAAAGGAGGAGGAGGAAGACATGCAACAGATATATCAGTCTGGCTTTGAACCCAGGATATCGTGGCGACATGGTTAGACATTTGTGCTTAGTAAAAAAAAAACAGTAAATCATTATTAATCACAGTTTTACATTGTGTTCATAACTTAATGAATAATCATGGTTTTAATTTCAGTTTAGAATCAGTACTAGTTCACAATGAGAGCCGCACATTTTCAGCCAGACATTGGTTCTAAAAAATAATAATTTGAAAATAAATAAATAATTTGAAAATAAATAAATAAATAATTAATAATAATAATAATAAACAGCTAACACAAAAAGAAGGAAATTTGATATCATGTAAAGAGAAAGAACAACAAGTTAAACACGACCATTTTTGAGTCATAGCTAATTTTTGCTGCATTAATATCTTTGTTAACATTAATATACATGTTTCTACCAGAGAAGCTGGGAGAGAAGTCTGAGGCAGTATTTAAAATGACCTTTTGGGAGAAGGTGCATTTACAAAAGCAGTTTTGTGCTGACAGTAGCCATTTTAATTTAAGCTGAAATAGAATAAAAAGCTCACAGAAGATCCCCCTTTTCACCCCCAACTGAGTAGCTCCGGACTAAAAAAATCACACTAATATGACAGATAATGGTCATGACCATCTGTTTTCTCGGTCTGGGGAAAAGAGCTGCTCATGTTCAGTGATGATTTTAATTGGTGTAGCAGGGGCTGTTATAGTAGAAAACATACACTAAGTCATAAATTATTCAAGTTCCAGTTGTGTGTGTAATACGATGAGGACAGCTTGGGAAGAAAAAGAAGAAGACCTTTTCTTCCTACACGTGGCCCCTTCAATAAACTGGTTTATGTATGTGGAGAGGAGGGAGGAGCAGAGCATACAGGGCAAATCAGTTACTTACCCATCACTTTAACGAAGTAGGCATCAGCTTCAAAATTGTTCTTTAAAGCATGGATGATCAAGTCATTTTTGCCCGCTGCCTGGCTCAGAACCAGCATGTCTAATATACCCTGCAAATGAAGACAGGCATGCAGATAAGGGACAATGAGAGCATGGTGTGTGTGTCTTCTGATGTACATTTTTATCCCTGTAACACACTGGGTGACTGATCCAGCATTATCTTATCATCTCTATTCTTCCTCTTTTCTCTTGTCCTCACTACATCTCTCGCTCCCATTTAAAAATTCTGTCTCAAGGGTGAGTGAGAGAGCGAGGGATGAAGAGAGAGAGAGAGAGAGAGAGAGAGAGAGAGAGAGAGAGAGAGAGAGAGAGAGCAGAATCCAACAGACAGGCCACAAAAGCAGTTATAATTAATTCTGATAAGACAAGCACATACAGTAGATTGCAAAAGAGCTACTGTACTATATGCATTAGAATCTGTGAGCAGAACCTATGAAACACAACATATGCACACTCCATTATCACTATAGATATCTGGATAGAAATCCAAGATGAAAAACATAAAGAAAGACGGTAAGTATACAATAACAGCATGCATATAAAGTATGAAAAACACAAAAGCACCGGAGCATAGACAGAAGATAAATAAGTGCCTGTTCTTGTGAATACAATCGCCGGCAAAGACATGATAAAATAGGCTTGCACACAAGCTACTGAGTGTGCTTTTAACTGCATTACTGATGACAAACAAGCACTAAACTGAACTCAACATTGTCCTCAGTTCAAATCTAGAATATTGCTTCTGAGCATGAGTGGAAAAATTATGACCTTAAATTATTTTTGGTTACGTCAGTGTAGAAAAAACACATAATCCAATTTTCTGCATTAGAGAAATCAAATATTCTTGTTTGTGCTGTTAGATTTATACATTTATATTCTCCAATTGGCATCAAGTTATAATATTGTAGAAATAAAGAGATGTCATTTTAGCTGCATAATTAACTGTCTGACACCAGTATCACTGCTGATGTCTGTGCATTAATTGGATAAGGAAGAGGAGAAATTGAGGGAGATGGATGTTTAGAGGAGAAACAGATGTGAAAGGCACAAAGAGAAAGAAGAGAGAAGGATGGTGTATGTATGACCAAAGCAAGCACCTACATACATTAACTGAGCAAAAATTACTCACATCCTCATAGATATCAAAGAACGTTGCCATAACAGCATTTTGGATGGCTCCCAAATCTGACTGGTCCCAGTGAATGTGGAACATCCTTCCTACACTGTGGCAACTGACGTTGTTACAGGGCACGTTCTCCAACAGGAAGGCCTGCTGACCACTGAGAGAGAGAGAGAGAGAGAGAGAGAGAGAGAGAGAGAGAGAGAGAGAGAGAGAGAGAAAAAGAATACATGTTATTAGCATCTTAGATGGTGACAATAGAGCATGGTGCTAGCTTGTAAAGAGCAGAAAAAATGTTCATGTGATCAGCTGATCAGTCTGGAAGTTTATCAGCTGAATCATGTCACCTGATATAAACATGCCAGTGTGTTGGTATTTATGATCTGGCATCTCACTCTCAGCTGATACTTCACACCAAGTCTGAGGCTGACCCTGGTCCTTGCAAACTTACCTATCCCCTCCAGCAGCTGAGCAGGACATTTCTCAGTTCAGTCTGATGTAGTGGTTTGGTTTTAGATCCCAATGATGAATCTAAGTATATGTATTTCTGATAATAAATAGGGCACAGTAAAGTGTCTCTGAACTTTAAATGGTGGAATTTACTTTACTTTTACAACCAAATTACATTTCTTATATTTCAAAGCAAACAGCTTTAAACCAGAAAATGAGACATGGGGCTCTATTTTAATGATCTAAGTGCATGGTCTGAAGCACATGGAGCAAGTGCATTCATGGTGTGTAAAATCCACTTTTACAGGTTTAATGGTGGAAAAAATGGTTGGTTTAGAGGGGTTGTACTTAGTCTCTTCAATAATCACGGGCGTGTTTTGGGTGGGTAACATGAAATAAACCAGAGTTCCATCCACCAATCCCTTCAAAAGCCAGGTGTGTTCACACCTTGGCAGATTGTTATTGTAACTATGGATCTGCCAGGTAGTAAGCAAGAACACTTCTCTGCAGAGAAAATGAATCTGTGTCAGAGCAGGGAGGTGTGCAGAGCTGAAACAGCTGTTTATGGCTTGCAGCCCTCTCTCTCTCTTTTTTCTTTCTCTGACTTTTCCGTTTTCCCCCATTTCCTGGGGAAAATATAATTAGGGCCTAAAGTTTTATTTACAACCACGACATGAGGGGAGCCTAAGAAACCGATATATTCTGTCTTTATGATCTCCTCCGCTCCATTTCAGTGTCAGTGGGACACCTACACTCAACAAACAGTGCAGTCAGAGTTGTGTTGGTCAGTATGTGTGTGTGTGTGTGTGTGCATGTGTCTGTGTGTGTGCAGTTCAGCATGTGCACATATCTATGTAGGCACACACTCTCTTGTTAATGTGCCCTTAAAATAACAATGAAATACTGTACCACTGACTTCAGACCAGGTTTTTGCTGGTCAATAGCGCATTTGATCAAGATAGCAGTGCTCCAACAATGCACCTGACCACACCCTAAGACCAGCACACCCGTGGGCACTCAGATGGGCGCAAGTGAAATTGCTATTCAAACAAAATAGACGCTGGGAAAATGACAACTGCGTCCGTCTGAGACGAGCAAAGACACACTGTTGTGCTTGGTGCCACTTTGCACTGGGTGTAAGACAGAGTCCTTTGTCTTTAAAATCATCTTGGTCATCACTCAGTGTCAACACAACTCCTATTTACTTCATCTTTAATGTACTCATGTAATGTAACGAAGCTCGAACAAAATGGTCGCCTCTCAGTGATACAGTAGATGTGAGGTGGTTTTACTACTACTATTATAAGAGGCTCGACTGTGACCTTTACCTCTAGAAATTAGAAGCAATCGCTGATCTCCAAGCACAGTCATTGAGAAGATTGTCCATAAGCAGTTGGTTGACTGTCTAACTGTCAATCATGTACATTACATTCGTCAGTCAGGGTTTTGTGCAAAAAGCAGCACAGAACCTTCCTCACCGTACAGCGATCAATGATTTCACAGTATATAGTGACTCTCTGGGGATTGGCTTCTAGTTCTAACAGAGACTCGGTTATCATCACCAATTCAAATTCTCCTACACATCAAATTTTCAGGTGTTTTTTCTTTTCTTTTCAGAATAAGAGCATCAGTGTTTTAGAGAATGAGAGCTACTTCGGGCTGGAACCGCTGGAAGCATCTGTGATAGTGGAACATCCACAGGCACTGCTCTCTTACACTGCTGCACATATGTAAGAAAAGTATTCCTTGCTGCTCACACAGCAAAGCACAAGGGCACACAATCTTGTGTGCACACATTTGTAGTGAGACACTGAAATATCTACTTTTGTCTACCAACAAGTTAAATGATTCTTATGTTCATTTTTCTACATATAATATTAAGTTCTTTTTTGTGTGACCACACCCTGTATTTGGCTTCTTTTTGCAGATGTAGCCAAGTGGCAAAATATTTACTAGAGACTATATAAAACCAAACCACACTTGGACTCTTTTTTTCCTCTACGTCTCTGCCTCGGTTGTATTTGCTCAGTCTTTGTCACCATCTCCCTTTGAATCTGTGAGGAGATTGAATCCCCCTCTTTATCTATGTGTCTTTCTGTCTTTGGAGATAGCTCTCTGTACCTGTTCTTAGATCTCTGTGGGGGTGATGACCTGAAAAAAAAAGAGAAGAAAAACACAGGAGCTGGACTAAAAATAAAATAATCGCAAAAGTCCTCCCTGTCTCAGGATTTTAAATTACTCTTTTTTCCCCCCACACTATGCCAGTGCAAGTGCCTTGGGAGTGGAGGTGAAGTAACACCACAAGCTATGAGTCTGATGGGACATCTGCCAGCTAGTCTGCTTTAAAAACTTGAAAGACTGTGTGAGGCAGAGCTGGAAAAACATAAAATCTGCCATACTTTTGGCAAAATACTGAGCTGTCACTGGGACAGAAAAGGAGGGACTTTAGGCACAAAAAGAAAAATATAAAAATGTGCAGAAAGTTTGATGAAATGTGGATTGATTGATAACCGTCATTAATATGATGCTGTCATCCATCTCGAAACTGTGTCGACTTTGATTGTGAAGAATTCAAACTGAGGTATGGTACACAGGAGGATAGAGACAAAGAGCCAGATACATTTTTTTTTGCGAGTCAGATTTTTTTTTCATGTCCCAACCACACATTGTAACAGGGCTAATCTTATTACTTCGTCTTCCAAGAAACTATACACAGACAAAAACAGAAGAAAATTCCATGTGAAAGCAGCAAATTTGGAGATGCCAATAATGACAAGTATCTTACATCAATATACAGTGTAAACTCACACACAGACGCACACAAAGTAAGCTCTGTATAAAACATGGCCTCAGTGAGCACAGTATAAGGCAGATACCATATGCTGTTTTTCATAACCAAGCAATCCAAGTGGTCAGATTGGTACTTGAAATGTGCTTTTTAAGCCTCTCCAGCGCTCTCACCTTGATTTTAGGAAAAATGATGGCTAAGTGAACAAACAGTAACAGAGCGCAAGTTAATTAGCTTTGTTGTTATTATATTTTATCATTGTAATTTTTTCGTGAAGTATCTAATGGCTTATAGAACAACCAACAACATTCAACAGCAGACACAGTTCATCTGTTTAAGTGCCTATTGTCAGTGCGGGATGGTTTGGACAGAAGACCTTCAGTTCATCAGCCTGTGTGCATGAGCGCTGGGTTTCTATCAATAACATGATGCATGGCAGTAGGAGTGTGGCATGGAGAGGGCAAAGTAAAAAAAAAACTTCTAAAATATTACACATGCTTTTACACAAAAATAGGGAGGTGTTTTTTTTGTTTTTTTTTATAAATACAGTATTAACAGCGATGGGAATTCAAATAATGAACATGAAGTGTGACATTACTGGACCGGTAATGTGACAGTAGCCTGGGTATTAGTCAGGGTATTACAGTATTATCATTTAGGCAGCACAATAAATGGCAACAGCAAGTTAATAATCAAACCTTGAATGTTTTTTTCTGTTTCCTGGGAGAAACTGATTCATTGGCTGCACCCAACTCAGGGAAACAAATTCATTTTTTTTCATTTTGTGGCAACATTTCAAATGTTCCCTTACATTTTACTTGACACTTAGCTGGAAAGAAAAGCTGTTTTTGCAATATGAGGAGTAAGTGCACTCTGCAATAATCAGGTTATTGTACAGGCAGCTAAAATGTACAAATGCTCATTCAGTGGGCGAAGCCTCGATTCAGCTGCCAATAATGACAACATCTGTATTTAAAACACAGCAGGAAAGTGTTGGAATTTAATTAATTCCTAAAGTGGACACATAATGCTTCAGGCACACAGATTAAAACAGTATCAGTTGAGATTACAATTTTCTCTGTAGACGTGCTGGTGTTTCAGGACGGAAGGAGATGAGCAGAGGGGCTGGGGCTTGTGCTGGTTTAACTCACTTAAGCTAGTTGTATTAGTTGGAGGATGGTTTAAGGTCATTCTTTGTAATCCATCAATAGTGGGTCTGCACTAGACCCTTCACCCCTCCTCATTAGGCATAAAGGTAACAGCACAGCAACCCATAGAATGTGGCCGCTGCAGCACCTGTCGGTCAGCACACACTGCTAATGGTCAGATTGGCTCAACGGGAGATAATCAGGCCTCCAACTCCAGGAATTTGTCACAATTTCTCAGGGACATTGTGTGTGTGTGTGTGTGTGTGCGTGCGCGTGTGTTTGTACACATGTGCAGAAAGAAATGCAACCATTTCAAAGTTTCAGGCTGAACTTTAGAAGGCATTAGGTTTGTGTGGGTGTGTGTGTGTGTGTGTGTGTGTCCTTTCTGAGATTTTTGTACATCATAAGAAGCACTGCAGGGTTGGTGATGGTGGAGATGAACTCATGGTCATGAGGTGGATCTCACACACACACACACACAGACACACACACACGCATGCAGTCACAGACACACACCTCTAGAGAATACAAAGACAACTCCTCACATCTGATGGTTTTTTGTTGACTGCAGCAGATATGACTGTAAACCTACAGAGAAGTTCTACACACACACACACACACACACACACACACACACACATCGAAGCATTATTACCATAAACAACATGTTATTTGGACAATCCAAACATAACACAACACAACTATTTGCCAACTACCAAGGGTGTTAAGGATAGGTTCACAATTTCTTAAGTCTGTCTTTAGAAATAGCCAGGT